TGCAATTTTTTGTCTTCGCTCTTAAGCTTGACAATGACGTCCGAAGTTCGGTCGAAACGTCGTGCGCTTTTACTGTTAGTTCTTTATTTCAAATATTTTATTGCCTTTCCCAAATTCTCCGCCAATAAATTTATAGCCTGCGAACAGGCTCCCCGCCCCGATCGCTTCGCTATCCGAATTCTTTGGTTCCGCGCTCGCCGAATGCTTTTTTCCGTCCTCGCCGGGAGCCTGTTCGCAGACTGAATAAACATACGCAAACCTGTTGATGAATTTTCAATTTTCTGTCCTTAAAATAACGTTGGCTTCCAAAATCATCTTAGCAGCAGGAGAAAAAAAGACAGTATAATGAAAGAAATATAAAAAGGTTGCCCTTTCAAAACAAAATTCTCCTGAAAAACATGAGGAGAAAAGTCAAACCTTCAAATTCAATCACACGAGCTCTATGAATTTTCGAATGATTCAAGTCGTGATGAAATGTTTTAGGCGATCAACAGTCAAGAGAATTGAGGAGAATTCAGCTGTTTATTTATACGATATTAATTAAATATTGTAAATAAATACACATACACACACATACACACGGCGAAATGAGGAACAAATAGTTGATAAATAGAAGAAACAACATTACACAAGGCTGGGAGTTCTGCAGTCTTTAATATCGCCCTGGAAAGGGGAAGAAAAAAAAAAACGTGTATTCTCTTACCGCTGCGTTTTGTACTATTTCTTAACAATGCCAGTGGGCTTTAACTTTAACTTAACCTACGGATTAAAACTTCAAGTCAGTGGCATCAAAATTGTCACTGTTCACAGACGATCCATTTTCCAACTTGAGTGGCTCATAGCCACTTTGATTAAGGTTACAGTATACCTTCAGATCGGCAATTTTCTTCAAATTTGGATTTTTGGTTCAAGGTAATGGTCGAAGAGTAATCTCTAATTTCTGAAAACAAAATTGAAAAAAACTCAATATTGGCGGAGAAATGGAGGTTTTACGTTACNCAAATTCTCCGCCAATAAATTTATAGCGTGCGAACAGGCTCCCCGCCCCGATCGCTTCGCTATCCGAATTCTTTGGTTCCGCGCTCGCCGAACGCTTTTTTTCGTCCTCGCCGGGAGCCTGTTCGCAGGCTAATAAACATACGCAAACCTGTTGATGAATTTTCAATTTTCGGTCCTTAAAATAACCTTGGCTTCCAAAATCATCTTAGCAGCAGGAGAAAAAAAGACAGTATAATGAAAGAAATATAAAAAGGTTGCCCTTTCAAAACAAAATTCTCCTCAAAACATGAGGAGAAAATTCAAACCTTCAAATTCAATCACACGAGCTCTATGAATTTTCGAATGATTCAAGTCGTGATTAAATGTTTTAGGCGATCAACAGTCAAGAGAATTGAGGAGAATTCGAACGACGTGTTCAGCTGTTTATTTACACGATATTAATTAAATATTGTAAATAAATACACATAAATACGGACACGGCGAAATGAGGAACAAATAGTTGATAAATAGAAGAAACAACATTACACAAGGCTGGGAGTTCTGCAGTCTTTAATATCGCCCTGGAAAGGGAAAGAAAAAAAAAGAAGAAAAAAAAACAAAAAACAATAAGTTATTACAACACGGGGTATTCGCCCCACTTGGTCACCCATCCAAATACCAACCTTGCAGAACGGGGCTTAACTTTGTTGAGCGGTCGAGACGTGGTGCTGTCCTTGTGGTATCGGTGACTCTAGCCTGAACGAATTTTTCAGTTTTAATTTCTAAGATGAGAAAAGGTAACAAAGAGAGAAAAAAAAGAAACATTGATACTGGCTGGGAGAATAAAAGACGAAAAACATGAGAGGAATGAAATTGAGAATTATTACTTGCTTTGGTAACGGTACTTTCTTTATAATTATCTCGGTCTCTCGGACCCGGGCCGACAACTTCATGAATGTTTTCAACAGTGTTACATCTCGTGTATTCTCTTACCGCTGCGTTTTGTACTATTTCTTAACAATGCCAGTAGGCTTTAACTTTAACTTAATCTACCGATTAAAACCTCAAGTCAGTGGCATCAAAATTGTCACTGTTCACAGACGATCCATTTTCCAAGTTGAGTGGCTCATAGCCACTTTGATTAATCTAAACTACTCACTCAGTGAGCAGATTCGCAAAAATTCTAACTGGAATCGAAGGATCGAGTAAATCTCCCATCCATACCAACAACTGGGATTTTCAAGTTCAAAAAAATGGAGCGTATATTGAGTACTTACTTTGCTTTCTCTCGGAAAACCCCCTGACGCAAAACTACGATGCTTAAGGTATCAGCCAACCAACCGGGGCCGTCTGTGCGCGGATCGTTTTAGCGCTCTTTGTTTCAACACAAACCCCTATAAACCGTATATTTTTTGAAAGCTGAATGATCATGATTACAGCTTATTCCCTTTTAAATGTATAAAACTTTAATGCGCTAAAAAAATGAGGAGGGTTTTGCAAAGCTAAGTGTTTCACGCTCACCAGAAACAAACGGAAGAAAACGATTAATACGGCTTTCATTTCTTCACACGTTTGCCTAAAAAAACCGTGTCTCAGATTTCTGGAATGTGCGTTCGTTTTATTTTTACAAGCAAATATATTCGGGCATGAGAAATTATTGCCACCACCAGTGGAAAATAGGCTATAACTTTGAAATAAAAAGAAGAATTAAAATTCGCAGACACGATTTTGTAGGTAAGCTATCTGACAACAATTTGGCCAAATTTCAGCCAAATTGGTCCAGGGGCTGCCGACTTGGAGTTCAAAATACATGTACAACTCGCCCAAAATTTTCATATCGAGAAACAAGTAAAAATAGAATTTCGACCCCAATGAGATTAGCGAAACCTAGGCGTCAAGGAAATAAAGTGTTGATCGATAAAAGAAAGTATCAGTTTTCTTGAGCAACAGTAGTTTGACAGGTAACCAAAAACAGACAAATTTTCGCGGCGGTGGGAAACAAAGACACATCTCCTACAGTTCAACGTCTCCGTGACAGAATCGACATGAAACTGACTCATGAAGCTTTTCTTGCAGGTTTTCTCCAGAAACAATGGTTCAACCATTCAACCTTGCCCACGATCCAGCATCTTCTTGTTCTTCTTCGGCTTCCTCTAACCGAATTTTAGAACGGCTTGCAGTCATTTCAACCGACCGCTTTTCACTCGTATCCGGTCTGCGTTCATGTTCTTCGATTTCTCTTGTAGCCATTCGTCTTGGTTGAAGAAAGAACCTTTGTCGCTCGAAGCGAGGTCTGCTGCCGATTCACAGCTAAATGCTTTCTTCCCTTCCTTTGGTCTTGGCTTTCACGAAGAAAAGGGACACGATCTTCTTTTCTTTTTCGGAGACATTCATAGATTTCACAAGACGACAACTTTGAGAGCTTCCAAGATGGCGAATCGCGTGTGTTTTGTGAAACACGCCACAAGCACACGTGCTTAGCTGTCACGTAACCTCTCCTTATTTGACAACGCGATGACAAGAGTTGTCGGCGGCTAATGAGAATAATTAAGATGGCAAATTGTTTTCGCTTAATAACTTCCCGTTCGAATAACATTTTTTTGTGGATTCTTTTTTTTTAAATGAAAGCTATTCCTAAGATTTATCGAATCATATAAAAATCCAAAATTATGCAAAACGGTAAATTTTGGGTAGGCTGATACCTTAACTCGGCACAGTGAAATGCAAATTAGCAGGAAATGTCTCGAAGTTGTCAATTTCTTGTGCAAGTCTTATTGTCAAGTTTGAAATCTATTGTTTATAATGTACAATAGAAATCGGGCTAGTTTCGACAATGACTAAGTGACTGCTGACTGATTTGCATATCACTGGTTGTCGCGGCGCCGTACAATTTTTTTTAGTTTTCCAAAAGACTGGAAATTTTCAACTTAATATACGCTTGGGGCGATTATTTTGCAAGGTAAGGAATTGTGCTGTTTTACTCATGTTATCACAGGGGAGCTTGAGTAATTGTCGATATCACAACATATTTCTTCGGCTACAGTCACGGTCAGACACTCTCGGAGGTCTTCGATAACTGAATGATTTGGAACGTTAAAGACGTACTTCTCTTTGAGCAATATCACTTGTATGAAAACGTCTCAATCGGATGTTTTTCATTCATACTCCTAATCAGGTCTTTGTCAACTGAGCAGAAATTAACACCTCGGTGGTTCATTATTGCATACAGCGGCATGTAATTCGATGCTATACGCTGTCAAAATGTTCAGAATGTGGGAACATGCACTTGTTGAACCGGTCTAAACTCTTTAGCAGTGTTTAATATACTTCTTAGACTCATCCTAGATAATATTACAACCGGAGCAATAACTGAAAATGAACTCAGTCCAAATAAAAGAACCAAATGAATTTTACCACGCTCTTTTAAAATGCTTAGTCAGCAACATTTTTTGCTGAAAAACGCTGAGTCAACAGCGAAGACCAAAGTCCAGCCATGACAAAAGCTCATGCATAGGAACAAGTGATATACGGCTCAAAATAATCAGAGGAGGCTAAGTATGTAACTTTTTTCGAAGTATTTGTCGCTGCCAATGCAATGTAATTGATATCATATGTTTTTTTTCACGGTTTCTTTAAAGGTCTTGATGGTGTTGCTACGACCATGTTGCCTGTTACATGTAAATTTCCGTGGCTTTTCCTCTGGATTTTCGCTGTCTCTGCTTTAGATGGAGAAGGTTTGTACATGATCGTACAATTATAAGCATATGAAAGTTAGCATTAATACTTTGGTGCTTGTCAAGCATGAGCGTAATCTTTGACTTCCCTGGACAATAATCTGATTTTGACCAAATAAATCGCGGATCATGTTTACTTAAGGCATCTGTCGGTCGAGTATCGGCCGATACTATCGCCCACCGACAGTCGGTCGACATATCGGCCAATACGCAGCCGATATAACTGATCCCAGTTTACCGACCGTACATGATCTACCCGAAAACGGATTTTTTTCTGAGGTCTTTTCAGAATCGAGGTCGGTTGCGTCCGTCGATGTCTGTCGATATGTCGGCCGAGTGTCAGTCGACATATCGACCGAGTATCGATATGTCGGCCGAGTGTCGGTCGACATATCCACCGATAGTGTCGACCGATACTCGGCCGACAGATGCCTTAAGTACACATGACCCTGAATCGTTGCGGCTAAATGACCGGCAGCCGGTCACGGTTTTCAAATCACTAAATCGGCAGTCTGATATTTTTCTCAAATTTGAGGAATCGAAGGAACCCATCCAATTTAAACTATCATATGTCGATTAAGAACTGCCAAGCGATCCAGAAGAACTGTATAGATCGCAAATATAACGCTGGGTATACGCTCGGCTCAGAGAGCGAGACCATGGTTTGTGACACGGTTTTCAAATCACTAAATGACTGGCAGTCTGATATTTTTCTCAAATTTTAAGGAATCGAAGGAACCCATCCCAATCAAACTATCATATGTCTATTAAGAACTGCCAGGTGATGGATGGGTTCCTTCCATTCCCTAAAATTTGAGAAAAATATCAGATTGCCGATCATTTAGTGATTTGAAAACCGTGACCGACTGCCTGTCATTTAGCCACAACGAATAAATTAAAATAAAAATAACAACCCGCCTAAAGAGATGAAAAGTCGATCGCAGTTTCGCTGTTTAAATGTATAATTTCTTTTACATTCGGTTCAGTGTTATGCTTTCTATAATTACAACAACAACAAAAAAATTAGTTGCAGAATTAATATGTACCACATAAAATGGGCTGAAATTTCTTTTGATGCCATTACCGTATCACTTACAATAACATGGAGAGTACAAAATTAACATGCATGTATATCATTAGCAGCAAACGTGACCGCTCCTCTATAGCTATTTCTAGTTTCAACGTGCGCTTTGGGTGGAGACGCAACTGAAATACCATTTAAAATGAAACTACTAGCTACGAATACGAAAAGGTCTTTACCCTGGAATATTCATATCGTTAAATCGTTTTTCAGTCTTAATCAATTATATATCCTATTAATGTTTCATTGATGCCATACTCTCAGCTTGCATTTTTTTCCAAGTGGTCAACACAGCATG